CATTCCAATCCCTGGTCTCTCCGGTGCAGGCTGCCCAAGGAGGACATGCAGTTCCAGCCGCTGGAGGAGATCGAGGAGGGGCTGGAGCCGAGCCGGCACGTCCCCCTGCACCTCCTGAACCGGCTGCTGGCCACGGGGCCCGCCCCGGGCGGCTTCGGCCGGCGCCTCTCCCTGCTGCGCCGCAAGAACAGCTGCGTCTCCGAGGCCTCCACCTCCTACAGCTGTCTGTGCCAGGACACGCAGAGCACGGACTGCAGCTGTGGGCCCCCCACCCGCCGCCTGCCCCTCAGCGAGGTCCCCTTCGCCCTGGAGCAGCAGGGCTGGGAGGGGGGCGAGGAAGCCGGGCCCCGGGCCCCGGGCAGCCATGAGGAGGCCTTGGCCGAGGAGTCGGACCTTGCCCGGCGGTCCCAGGTCTCCTTGCTTCACCCCGATGGCGCCGCCCCTGTGGCCGGCAGCTTCCCTTCGCCACAGGACCTGGGGCCCCTTGTGGACACGTCCTTCCTCCCGCAGCCGGGAGCCGCCCAGGAGCCCCCCGCCCGTAGCGGCCCCCCCAGTGCCGGCTACCGCCCCTGGCTGCAGAACCGCATCGAGGAGGAGACGATGGGGTGAGCCGGGCCGAGACTCGGAGACGCCCTGCAGCCGGGGGAAGCGGGGACCCAACCCCAGTGCCGGCTGGGGGCCGACCCCTAGATGTGACGGCAGAGACACCTGGTTCTGGGCCAGAGGCAGCTGAGCCCCGCTCTGGTGCCACCAGATGAACTGTTCAAAGGGGGGGCGTTAATCGGGGGGGCCATCAACATTCGCCCCCTCCCGCCCCGGACCCCTCTGCTCCCTGGCTCGCCGGCTACGTGCTGGGCCCTGGTGGTGCAGCGCTCCCTGCTGGCTGACCCGTCCTGGTCCCAGCTCCGGTCCCCTCAACTCTCATCCACAGCAGCGCGGGACCCTGCTGCAAATGCCCCCGTCTTCGAGGCATCGTTTCATTAGCCCTGGGCTGCCCCGGCCTCTCCCCTCGCTCGCCCACCAGGACTGGATGGGGGGGGGTGTGCGCTGAGCTGGGGCGGGGGCAGCTGCACCCCTCTGGGGCTGGGGGAAAATGGCTCAATCCCTTGTCTTTCACTGTCTGGTTCCTGCCTTTTTAAATATAATTGTATTAAGCGGCTCTTGAGTGGGGTCTTGGGCAGAGGGTGGAGGGGGAGGTTGCTGGGAAGGTTGGCTGCAGTTCCGTGCCTCAGTTTCCCCCTCAGCCACAAGGAACTACTGTCAGGCAGCTCTCGTGTGCTCTGCTGGAAACATGCAATGGGGCCAGTCCCACCTCCAGCAACTTGGGTCACGTTTAAAATAAAATGGGCTGGGGAGGGGGGGGCGGGGTAGCCAGGGCCCCTTCACCCAGGTGTTCCTGTCTCCGTCTCCTCGGGGGCAGGTGGCCCCTCTGACCAGCTCGGTGCCTCTGGCTCAGGAGGGAAGGAGCCCGGGCAAGGACCCTGCTGGAGAAGTGCTGTCAGCCTGTGGGGGGACCAGGGGTGGGACCTGCCCCTGGGGGTGGATGAGGGAAAGGTCCCAATCGTGAACTACGGCACTGCTACAGCTCATCGGGGGAACCCCCGTGTTCTCACTGTCATGCCACAGGGGGTGGCAGCGGGGGGCTGGTATTTGGCCCCTGGGGGCAGGAGTAGAAGCCTGTGGGGCCCCTGGACGGGGGGCAGGTTCAGAGCCTGAGCCTACTTTGAACCGCTGCATCTTCTGCTCTGAGTTGCATCTTGGTGCTGGGCGACGGACCTGCAAATAAGCGGCTGTGTCCCACCCCAGAGGTAGCTGCATCTGTGTATAAGCAGCAACGCTCACAGGTGGGCCCCCACCACGGTGCTCAGGGCTTGAAAAACACTCCCAGCTGTCCGTACTGTCTGCGCCGCCCTGGGGAGACGCTGGCCGCACGTGAGCGGCAAACTTCCCCCTCCTGAGAGCCGCTGCAGCGAGCCCCTGGCTCTTAGCAGCCAGACAGGCCCTGAGCTCAGCTGCTGGGATGGCTCTGCCCAGCCCCGGGGGAGGCGATTTCTGCTGGCCCCCATGGGCCCTGAGCTTGCCGCCTGAGGCTGAGAGCCAGCAG